AATATTATCCAATACTTAGTAATAATTTTAATAATTACTTTTTTTATATTATTATTTATTTATTTATTATTTATTATTTATTATTATTATTATTATTTTTATATTACTCTAATTTATTAGAGATATTATTTATTTTCTGGAGGCAAATGATCAAAAATAAAACCGCTTGGTTCCATACTTTATATTCACCCTGTATAAGGTAAGATACCAGGAACATGGAAAAAATGTTACAAAAATTTTATCTATAAAAATTTCGAAGTTATGAGGGTTTAAAGTTTGCACTTTGACTCAATTTATTTCTATTGGAAAAATAATTTTCCTAGTTTTTTTGCTACAGGCTATTAAAAGAGGAAACAAGGAAGCTGTATCCTAAATTGTAACTCTGTTTAATGTTATTTGTGGTTTTTATTGGCAAAATTTTTGTACTTTTAATAAATAATTGTAAAACAACAATACAAGATGATCAGTATCATTAAATAGACATTAAAAAATGTCAAATGTCAAAAAATAAATGTCCAAATTTTATGACAGATAGAATTTTTTAAACATTTTTTTCATGTTCCTATGGTATCTTACTTGAAAATTTTCTTTGGGGCGCGAGTTCTGGCGCACCTGTATATCTCAGAAACTATAAATATTCGGATATAGAGTCAAGTGGGACAAATGCGAGGGCCATAACTAAATTTGTGAATTCAATTTCATACGGCTCATTCACACATTACAAGCGATGTGGTAAATATGGCATTACTCCGAGTACTTATGTATAGATCGGATAAAGCACAAGGGGTAATGCCATTACCACCGAGGTTTGTATACTATTTTATTAACAATCACATTATTTTCAGTCAAAAATTTGAGTAAAATAAAAATCTAACAAAGTTAAAGTCCAAACGTGGTAGGCCATCCAAATGACGTTTGATTTTTGTCATTTCAGTAATATCAACAAAAATATTGAAATAATGTGTGAATCTGATTTAAAATCGTCGAAATGGAGCAGTGTACTCCCACAGAAGTAAAAGAAACTGCTACAAAAGCAATAGAATACTTATTTTAGCAAAATATTATACGTAACTTGACAATTTGAAAGATAAAAAATCCCGGTAATAGATTCAATTTCCCAAAGCTTTTTGCCGAGTTGTTCATGCTATTATATTAATTAATTATTATTAATAATATTTTTTATGGAAAGGATCATTTGTTTATTAACCTTAAGTGACTCAAAATTTTTTGCTATAGTTACTTGAATCTGACACTGGAATTAAACAACAAAGAAGGCGCCGTTTTTTAAAACTGAAACTAGATACTTGGAGAAAGGTTTTCTTTAGAAATATTGTTAATTTGTCACTTGTGAGGAACAGTAAGGTAAGTGAAGTTTTTAATAAACTTTAATTCATATTGATTAAAATTGTTGCTTATCATTGAGTAGGTAATAATTTTTTGATTGAAAATGAATTGGTTCTACATCTCAAGCAATGTAAAACAAAGCACAGGCAAAAAGTAGCAAAAGACCATCGATTATTCTGTCAAGATGACAAACATTATCCAAAATTCTGAAACAAAGTTAGAAAAACCTAAAGATTTTAGCTTGTCATGGAAATTGGGTGGACAAAGTTCATTGTCCGCCACTGTATATAAAAATTTTCACGGCTTGTGAAAAGCAGGGGGGGGGATGCAAAAAAAAATATTTGGATACGGAATTTGTTTGGTCTTCAAATTGAGTTTTCACAATGGTTAGAACATTTGCTCGTAATTCGCGAACACTCTGTATATTGCTTTAATTTAGCTACTTAGGTACGTTTCTAACGATTTAGTGACGATTTGGTTCATTGTAAAATGATTATTTTTCTAATTGTGCCTCCATTTTGATTGTCTAATACAGTGGTTCTTAACTTGTGGTCCGCGAGAATATGTATCGGGGTTTGCAGTCTCATCTGTGGACCATTTAACAGCCACCAAAAGTCTCGTAATCGCTTCGGTAATAAATGGTCCGAAATTTATTGCTGTTTTTTTATTAAGGGGGTCCTTGAAAATTTTGCTTGATTTTCTAGGGGTCGTGGACTGAAAAAGGTTAAGAAACGCTGGTCTAATTGACATGTATTAAAAACGCGACGTTTTAAAAAGGCGACTAAATCATTTGAAATTAGAGGCCAAATTACAAAAAAATTGTAAAAAAATTCGTTCAAGCACTTGAAGCACTCTGATTTTTTTAAAATATCTCGTGGCTGCACTACTCATTTTTTAAACGTGAATTCGTTCCTTAAAACTGGTGTTTTGAAAGTTGTTTTCATTATACTATTTTATACTATTTTTTATTTTTGTCCACGATTTGCTGCACTGTGCACAAAACGACAAATCAATTTTTTTAGGTAATTTTCTTGAAACATCTCATTAGGACTGTAATATTTGACTTACCGGAATTATAATAATTATTCTATTACTTCTGTCCAAAAGTATCTACATATTTCGTTTTCTTCAGTCTGTTACCAGAAAATTGAAAACTGTAATGTCCTAAAATCGTTTTCTCAAAAAAAAGATTTCATTTAATATATCGTCCGAAATGCATCATTTTGATTACAGATCATTTAACCACGTGATACCCTGGTACACTTTTCTCAAACATGTTTGTAATTCTTGTTTATTTTTACTTAAAACTGTTTGTGACGATATACTTTACAATTTATAGATAAAAGATTTTTATTGAATATAGTTGTAAAATATACTCTATATATAAATACGTACCTTTAGTAGTTAAAAAGTAAATGTGTGAAGTGGAAACTTCGACAGCCGCTGTCAGGACCCAATTTCCAACCCAAATAAATTATAAAGGGAATGTAGCCAAAGTTAAATGCTGTAGTTGTAAGATCAAGCACTATTTCTATGCGTTGTTTAACGTCTTCACTTAATTCAAAATCCATTATGAAAATTTCGAAATAAAAAAATATTACTGTCAACTTGAAAGCACTATCTAAAGGTAAAAATTCAAGTTGTTGCCTGGTTTTCATGTTTTGATTAAAATGAGATTATTATTACCTAAATAGAAACCCTATTATTAAAATTAAAACTAAGTTTTGAATTAGAATAGATGTTGGTACAGAAAACAAATATTTATTAGAAAAGATAAAAATTAAGAAAAAACACAGAACATGTAATTAATATTGTGCTTAGACCAACTTTGTTATCTTTCTTTAAACTATGGTTGATTATTAGAAATAAATTATTTTTAGATTGACATTTTTTTTTTATATGGAATGTGTCAAAGATGTTGGACAAGCTTAAAGGTTTGAGAATTACATTACCAACGAGAAGTAAAAATAACCAAACTGTTAGTTATCGGCCATTTTTAAGTCTGTAACACCTTCTTGAAGTCCCTAAATAATAATAAATCCTTAAATGGGCATCAAAAATAATTTCATTCTACTCTTATAAGTAAATATTTACAAAATTTTGCCGCACAACTACAGGGTGGTTTCATTTGTGAAAATAATGTGGGTTTGTCTTATGAACAATTGTTCAAAAATGTTTCTTTATCAGAGATAAATGGCGCCAAAGTTTGAAATTTTTTCCCATCTGTTCAACGGGGAGAGCTACGGCCTCCAAATTTTGTAAAATTAAAGATTAAAGTCGTTCCAAATTTTAATGTTAATTATTATTATTATTAGACTAGATTATTAATAGATATTTATTTGAAATGTGTAAATCAGACGCTTTATTTCACGATTGGATTATTAAACCACGAGTGTTAACGAGGTGGAATAAATGAACAGATTTATACGAAGACGAGTTGAATACAACATTGTATTCTTTGAAATAGACTCAACAAGGATTAAAATTGCTTTAAATTTGTTAAAAATAATCTGACAATTCGTAATGAGAAATGCCAAATAGTTCAAAACTTCCGAAAAACCGTAATTTTGACAGTGACGAAGAATAAAAGTTATTACTACCCTTGAAATTATTATGATGTAGTGTAGATTAATTCAATACAGCGACAGGATAGATAAAACAAAATTGAGCAGTTTTGTTCCCTATTGAACATCATCAGGATCTCTTTCTGTAGCGATCCTGATGATATTCAATAGGGAATGAAACTACTGAAACTAGTCGATTACGATTCAATCAATTTGTTTTATTTATCTTGTCCCTGTAATGGGTTTAATCTAGGTACATCATAATGTTAATTATGTTTATCTTATTTATATTTTATAATTTTATTGCTATTCAGACAAAAAGAGTTTTAAACTATAAAACTTGTGTTGTCTTCAAAATTTTTTCCAGCACTAATATTAGATAAGAAATTTTGCTAAATTCAGAAATTGTTATGGTTTAAATGAAGTTTATATTTATTTATACGTTAAGTTAGAGTTCCTAACTACAACAGTTGGAACACTGAATGTCATTTTTCTATTTTTGTTTTCATTTATTTTTTAATGATATTACCGAATTTTAGTCTGGCTGATGGGCGACAATTACACTGATATTTCGTCGGCGCAAAGCCAAAACCTCGTATCTCAAGTTTAAAAAAAACTTTTTTGAGCTTAGGTATTGATATGCGCGGTCTTGTAACTTCTGGGGAATCGAATTTTCTACAGTATGAACCACCTAACTCAAAATCGTAAAAATTTGAGATACGAGGTTTTTGGCTTCGCACCGCCGATTTGCCGTTTATTGTTTGTCTAACTTCAAAAAGTTAATAACGTAATATAGGAACTGCATTTATTAGACTAATCAGTTCAATACAACAAGAGATGCTTGAAGGTATGTACCACCATTTGTGTAAAGGTATAGTTTTTAGTGTTCAACAATGTAATAGTAGTTTTGCTTAATTCTAAATTGAGAAAATATGTGTTAAATTATTTTTTTATATTGAGGGAACTTTATTACTACCATTTGAATTTTCACCTTTTAAGTTGCCTGCATTTTAAATTTCATAAAAATAGTTGGCAATTAATAGAGATATTAGGCTTTGCTTTTACGCCAAAACTGCAAAGGAAAGACATTTTTTGCTTTATCTGAAACGAGCAATTCTGTAATGAAAACTTCATTATTCTAACTTAGTAGAAAGAAAAGTTCATTTTTCTCTTGATTTTGGACTTACAATATAGTTTCTCTATGCTTTTTAAGTCTTATCACATTGGCGGTTTTATTATTTTGACAATGATGTCACTTTGACAAATAAGTTTACGCAAGTTAGATAACAAAAATGTTTGTGAAAAACATAATTTTAATGAATGGCAACTCAAGGAAATAGATTTAAGATAAAAACCAAAATCATTTTTAACAAGAACTAGCATTATTTAATTAATAAATTAAATGTCAAAGTGACATGTAGTTGTCAAATAAACAAAATCGCCAATGTGATAGGACTTTGAAGTAGAGAAAAATTATTCTAAGTAGAAAATCATGAGAAAAATTAACTTTTCTTTTCAAATAAAGATTTAGTTACCAATTTTCTCCTTTCGGGTGAAGCAAAAAATGTTTTTCCTTTGCAGTTTTGGCGTAAAATCAAAAATAAAAAAAAATCATGTTTTCGGTCACACAATTAGAAGTAGAAAATGCAATTTCAAACTTAAAACCCAAAAACTCATTACAAAAAGCTAAGAGAATCTTTTAAGAGTATATTTTTTTAACAAAGAACTTACAGAAAGTAAAACAAAATATTACAAAAAATTAAAAAAAACTTGTGTTGTGCTGCGATTTTTCAAAGCTTGCAAACGTAGAAATCGGTCCTGAATTGCAGTGGTTGCTCTTGAACGTCCTGTGTGTCGTTCTTTGACATCACCAGTTTGTTGATATTTAATCCATAACCGATTGATCACACTTTTGCCAACATTTAAAGCATCAGCAACTGCTCTTTGGGACAAACCTCCTTGGAGAGCATGCCAATAGCACGCAATTGAGTATCCCGATCTAAATGATGTCTTTCCATTTTTAAACAGTCTCATACTGATCAAAATTAACAAAAATTTCATCTTTATCAGCATTTGAAATGAGATACTAATAAGGGTTGTATTTTTAGTCCGACTCAAAAAAAATCATTTATAGTCGAAATAACGTAATACCCCATTTTTTATTTCGCGAGATTTTAATAACACTTTCGCTTGTCCCCTAGATTATTTTGATGTGGGTATAAGGCGAAGCAAAAATTTCTATTAGAAAATGTTCTGTTATTTTTAATTATTGTGTTTTGCTTACGGAGAACTACATACTAGGAGACGAAACGAGATACAAAATTGCTTGATTTTTTGGACCCAAAAAAAAGTAAAAATGAGGGCGCTTAGAGCGTTTTACCGCCTCAGTTTCAAATCGTTTTTAATTAATTTAAATTCAACCAGTTTACAAATTGCTTGGAAAAAAATGCAAAAATGTTGAGCTTTATATTCTTAATAAACTGTAAAAAACGAACCACTAAATTTTTCACGAGAAATATGAGAAAAAAAATATTTAAAATTCAAAATCTGTGCTCCGTTTCATGTTTTTCAAAATGCCTCAAAGAGGTTCAAAGCCGCTCAAGCGATGGATTCGTTTCATTTTTACTGGTGATTGAGTGCCGGGGGACATTTTAAAGCAATTTAAACCTAAACCGTTGAAGATAGAAATATGGTGTCGCGGATTTTTTGTAGAAAATTTTATTCTCTACATTTTGTTTCTTACACTTTTTTGTATTTTTAACCATATTCGCAGCGTTCTTAAAAATATGGGGCGGAACGCAAACTGATAATTGTTTATAATTTATATTTAATACTGTTTTCGATATTTTTGAAAACGCTGCAAATACGGTTGAAGATACAAAAAAAGTGTAGGAAACAAAGTTGTAGAGAATTAAATTTCCTACAAAAAAGTCCACGAGACAATATCTCTATTGTCAACCGCTTAGGTTTAAATTAATTTTCTGTCTCTTGACCACCGGTAAAAATGAGCCGTATTCGTCGCTTGAGCGTCTTTGAACGTCTTTAGGTCCTAAACCATTAAATATAGAGGTATCATCTCGCGGACTTTTTTCTTGGAAATCTCATTCTCTACAACTTTCTTTTTTATATTGTTCTTGTATCTTTAACCGTATTCGTAATATTTTCAAAAATATGAGACGGGGCGCAAATTGAAATGTTGAGGTTTTGCTATAATTTTACTCGTATTTGTTACTGTGAAGTTTAAGTGTTGTATTATCCTCATTAAAATAAATATTTTTTTTTATTTCGTTACTCCTAAATTGTAGACACTCTACTGATACATCATTGAAGGACAGTAATGGATTGATCTGTGTTTTTGAAACTGAACATAGGGCTATGTTCAGAGGCAAAAAATTGTCCCTGTATGTAAAATGTTAGGGATATATGCAGTCCGTAAATCTAACCCATATAGAAGCAATCATACGGCAGTAAGAAGTGTTAATATTTTTTGGTATTTTTTTTTGATTAAACCGAATTGGGTACACCACAGAAACGACTTTAAAAAATAAATACTTAAATAGTACTTAAATCTGACAGAAACATCATTAGCTTATTCGATTAAAAATTTGTTTCTAGAAATAAGTTTAGAAGAGTTCTCTAATATCACATTCCGCCTCAAAAAAAATACATTTGAAACATTATTACAATAAATAAATTGGTTCGAGAAAAATTTGTTTAATAGGATAAACATTACATTTTTTTGAAAAAAGTTTACATCAAATTGAATATTTATTTTAATCTCAGAGCTAACTCTTACGAGCAATTTAGAAACTTCAACGCATTATATTTCATCTACTCCGATAGTTGATTTAGCACAATGATTTCAGAGCGATGATTACATATCAATTCATATGGGGCCCATGCCCAACATGGATGACTCCGTTGGAGCACTTCTCCTAGGTCGTCCGGCGGTAATTCCAGTAGTTGACGAGGAACCTGGACCTCAGTCTTCCAAAGTGCTCACTGAAACCAAGCTGCCACCGTATCCAGCCCACATAACCCCAACGAATGGTTCCTGGCAAAACGTTAACGGCGCTAGGTAAAATTTTTACAAAATCGAAATATAATTACATTTTCCATATGTAAATTTTTGTTTCAGATACAAATTTTTCGTGTTTTCGGCCTTTTTTGACAATCGGAGAGGACAAAGGTCTGTGAGGATAATTGGCGCAACGAAAACTAGAGGACCAGAAAGAGTGTGGTGTCGACTGTGGTATAAAACAAACGCAAATAATGCAACTTCGTTTATCTCACGGAGCGTTCAAGCAAAAATTAAGGTAAGTTATTTAATTTATTTTATCCCCTATCAAAATCTTTCAAAAGTATAACTGTGCTGATTTCAAATGTAAACATTATGACGTCTATATAATACTCGTACTTTGATGAGTTACAACCTTATAACAGTTATTACAGAGACTACTATTCTTTTTGCTTGTTACAGGTAATACGAGAAAACTGGAATTTGAAATACAGCGCATGCTTTCTGTTATGTCCTTTGTTGGCCAACCAAACAGTTCCTGTCACTGTCTCAGTGGTCACAAAAGTCAAATCTGCCCCTACTAATTTATTGACCGTCATCAACAATTACAACGATTCAGTAAAACCCTCGAATAAATTCGCCGTATGCATCAAACCACTCCACTTCGATTACAATAGGGTAAGTGACATGGGATCAAAGATAATCTCGAAAGGTTACTACCTATCCATCTTGATGAAAACAAGATAATCTTTTTTAACAAGATTTCTAGACACAAAAACAAAAAGCAAACAAAATTTGTGGCTATGGAGATAAGCTACTGTCGATTTTTTCACCAAAATTTTGATTTGGTGATCATCGTTTCAAACAAAAAACAAACTAAATGATTTTTTTTTAAATTTAGCCCGCTGTTGTGTACAGGGCGTCCCTAGTTTTAGGGCCGGCGCAAAAATAAATATTTCTAACTGATTAAAATAAAAAAGAATTTTAATAGTGTAAACCATAGAGGATTAAATACCCTTTAATTTGATGTTTTGGTATTGTACACCCGGAGAAAAAACTATTCACCAGTCTAACTTTCTGCTCACATTGCGCTTTGTTGCAATAGTGTTTCAGACTAACTAGTTGGGGAGCAGGTAATATGTTGAAAGACCCTTATTTAGGAAGTTGGTCCGGACTCACGTTTCTTCAAAACGGTCTTTTTCTGAACATTTCTTCAATGAGTATAGATTATTAAATAGTGATTATAATAATTTGCAAAATGACACTAAGCAAATTTTAGAAAAAAAATGCATGCCCATGTATTTCATTTCATAGCTAGTTTCTTCTGTTTTTTATATTTATTTTTATTACTTCTAAACAAAGCAAAAAACCCAAAGTGCCATAATAATAATAATAACTAATATTATACAGTATGTCCCCGAATTAATTTTTCTCTTGATTTTGAGCTTGTATTTGTCTATCACGTGATAGTTTTCCTGCTTTCGGCACAAATGCCTCCGATTTAAAATTTATTTTAATTCAAATTGTTGCTGAATTATTGAAAAATTATTACCATATGGGTCTAAATAGGTCTTAAAAACATTTCAATCGCATTTGGACTTTTTTTCTAAAAATTTAGGGAGCATGAATGACAAACAAGACGAGCGTTTTCATCAAGATCTGAAGTTTCTTCAAAGATCGACACGAAGGTTTTTGGGATGGAAATATGTTAGTATATTACTGTTGGATTGTTATAAAGAAAAGTGATCCAAACAAGTTTAATAACAAAAAAAGTAAAATAACTCATTTTTAATTTGTTCTTTGGCGGTTTTTGTATTTTTGTTAATTACTTATAAATGAACTTTTTTAAATAGTTTTTTTTTGAACTCGGTGCCTCAAAATCTATAAGAAATTACTTTAAGCTAAGGTATAAAAATCGTGTAAACTAGTGTAATTTTTCTCTGCGTTTTAAATCCCATCACATTGGAATTGAATTAACGCAAGTTAAATAACAAAAATGTTTGTAAAAAAACATAATTTTAAGAAATGGAAATTAAAAAAAAACAGCTCAATTATTTCATTAATTGTCAAAGTGACATCGTTGTCAAAAAAATAAGATCGCCAATGTGATGGGACTTGAAAAGCAAAGAAAGATTATTATTACAAGTCCAAAAGTAAACTTTTCTTTCTACTGACTCAGAATAATGAAGTTTTAATTACAAATTTCGTTTCGTTTCAGATAAAGCAAAAACATCCCTTGCTGTTAAAGTGTTACTTTRTCTACTCAAAAGAATTTATAAAAAAWWRKTTWA